GCTCTACCTAATTTGGCTGCAGCCCATCATCTAATTGCAGTAGGTCCAACCCTTTCCCAGCCACCTCTGTTGTCTGTCCCAAGAGCTCCCAGGAAAGGGGAATAGGATGAGAGGAGGAAAATAACCCAGGAAATGAGTGGGGAATGTAGCTGGGACACATTTGGGATGGGACAGGAGTGGGCTGAGGTCTCCAGCCAAGGGGAGGCAGCAGGACCCCGACAGCCCCCCCATGCATTCCTCCACCATCCCTTGGCCAGAGTTCAGCTCTGCCTTTGCCTCCCCCATCTTGATAACTCCCCCATTAGCAGCACCGCAGCACACAGGGATGTACAAAACAGTGAACGCTTTTTATTTCGCTGCTGGAGTGAAACCACCGTAATTTCATAAAACTCAAAAAAAAAAAAAGTGATTACTAGAAGGCATACATTTTTTTTTTCCTTTTTACACAAGACGTAAGTAAACAGACAAGTTTCTTTTTAGAAAGGTTATAAAGTGTCAAGATCCTATACCTCATCTGCATATTCAAAGTGATGCCGTCTGATACAAAAAGCATTGGGTATAATAATTTAGCTATGGCTCAGACCAAAAAAAAAAGAAAAAAAAAAGAAGTCATCTGGGCTTAATCTACATACTACTATGATTGCCCACGGAGTTAAAAAGGAAAATATGCAGTTCTTTGTTGCACAGAAAGAAACAGCAGGGAAGTCGAGAGTTCATTGGGAGATCGTCATCTAAAGGGAAGCCGAGCGCGGCGAAACGCCCCCCTCCCCGGGAATGTCTGCCAGAGCCTGCGAGCGGGACCGCAGCCGGCCCGTGACCCCCCGCTGCGCGAAGAAACCAGCCACATTTTTCTCCCACCAGACAGTATCCCATCCAAATCCACTCACCAAACTGCACCTTCTCAGCCCGCTGGAAGGAAATAAGATACAAGACCCTGGAAACTGCATGGAAGTCACGAAACTCCCTGTGCGCTTTCCCACTGGGACTAATAAAAAACCAAACAAACCCAATGAAAAAAAAAAAAGAAAACAACTCATTCTATTGTAGATAGAGCAAGACTCTTTGCTTCCTCGGGAAATCTGTTACTCATAAACCTCCTCATCCAAAGCTCTCAGCCCAACCACCACAGCGTCAGCCTTATTGCAAGACTCATAGTATGAATTTAAAAATGCGAAGTCTTTAAATATGCGGCACCAGACCTTTCTTAAATAAAGAGCTGGCCATTTGCGACGGCCGCCTTCCTTCCCACCACTGCCCCCCCCACGCCCTCCATCCGACTGGCAAACACGGAGAACAGAAGGGACACACGAGCCTCTTAACTGAAACTCAGATAAGGGCACACATGTGCCACCGGTGAAAGGACACAACTACAAGTTCCTGCTCAGATTTATTCCCCCATGCGAGGTTCAGCCATGATTGATTCCTAGGCAAAGCCTACAAGCTCTTGGTTTGATGGTTAGGGCATCTCTGCTTTGCCATCCCTCCCAAGCTCTTGCTACCAGTTTGGAGACCTGTCCTTGCAAACTATGGAAAGATGTCGGGTTTCCATGGAGGGGACGAGGGACGTGGGTAGGGACGAGGAGGTATAAAACCCAGTTTGTGCCTTTGCTTCTGCAGAAAAGGGCAGGATAAGGTGGTTGGTTTGTAGCCAAAGCCATGGGAGTGTCTGTTCCCTATGGCGTCTGCCAAGACCCAATGGAGACAACTGGAGCAGTAACAGAATTGGCGAATATGTCAGATTCTTAAGGCTCTCCTTTCAACATCTTGGCATCTGAGGTGAAATAAGGATTAGCGTACAAGGAGAGACCCCCAAAACCAGCCCAAACCATGAGCCCTTGGCCGCTTAGGCCTCACTCTGGTGCTATGTGTCTACTGAGCTCCAACTTTTCCTCTTCCCCAACTGTCCCAAGATTTTTGTGAGGGAACTGGGCTCTTCTTTGAGATTTCTAACCCAAAACCCAGTTGGAAGACCCCTCAATTTCCCCAGCCTGTTATGTTTCTGTAACCCTCTCTAGGCTGAAACATCAAGGAGCTGGTACCTCAGAGGTAGGAGCCCAAGTCCATATCAAAAAAATCCCAAATATTTGGCAGTCCAACCCCGAGAAACCTTGGAGCAGGTTCAAGCCCTCCATGCAGGGACGGCAGCTGCTGGGCTGCTAAGGTGTCCTGTCCATGGAGCAGCACATGGGAGGTGACAGCAAGTTCCAGGACAGGGGGAAGACGTGCATTAAAAAAAGAAAAAAGAAAAAATTAGGACAATTAAAGCAGCATGGTTTTTTTGTTTTTTTTTTTTTTTCAGTGACTCACAAAACTGAAGAGTATCAAGATTCTGCTCTGCCAGCCAGAGGCATTCAGGTTTGGGCCACATGGACCGTACCATGTCAAGGACTGTTCTTACACTAGAAGCTCTCTATTTTTAAGGTGGTTGGGTTGATGCTACATAAAGTGGAGGAGCACTGTGAAGCCTGTCCCCGCTGCCGTGTTCCCCCAAACAAGCCCACCAAGCTGAGATTTGAGTGTACTCTCATCAGAGCTCAGAACTGAGCACTTCTACCATCAAACCCTGCATGGAGGAGGTGAAGAGTTCCTGTGGCCAAAGGCGGCTGAATTCAAGCCCCTCTGTCCCCATCCCGACCCCAACTCAAAAGAATCATGGCTGAAGCCCTGGACTGCTTGCCCTGGGCCATCTGCCAATGCGATGCTCCCATGAGCGTGGGCAAGGAAAACATTTCTCCTCCTCTTGCCAGGGCAGAAACATCTCCAAGCCTGCAAAGCAACGGTTACCACCGCTTTATCCTAAACTCTTCCCAAGTCATGGCATGGCCTGTTGTGACCAGGGAGCACATGAGACCATGAGGTCTCCTGGCTAAGAGGGATTGGGGCTGTCCCCATCACAATGTCAAGCCATCTCCTACTGCCCCTAGGGATGAAGCAGCACCTATTTTAGCAGCAGGAGGACATAATGGGGCAGGAAGAGGATGGTGACCCACCCAGCGGGACTGCTCCAGTACAGGATCAGGCCTTTTTATCAGCCCAGTTTCTCACCCTTCCCAACCAACTCAGACCCTTCAACCACCGCCACCTTCCCCATGAGTCATAGGAACCAACAGCCTGGAATGGGGCAGGAGAAACTCAAGGGACCGAGGGCTGTCCCACAATGCGGGGGCTTGGACAGGCTCGAGGTGTGCAGTATGACAGCTCCGGGGCCATGTGTGGAGGGTCTCCACCTCGCTCGGCACCACGGCCTGTCCCACAGGATGGCCATCCCTGCTGTGCAGCAGGGCTGGCTCCCATCAGGAGAGGAGGAGGGATGCTGGAAACAGCTCCAAGCTTCTCCTCTGCCCATGTGTGGTGGCACAAAGTCGTATCCTACCCTTCTGCAGGTACTGGAAGTGTCTAACCTGACTTCCTCACCACTTATCCCAAGAGATGAACCCTCTGAAGCAAATGTCTCTGGATACTATGTTTCGGAAGGCACGCAAACCTTTGGAGATACCCACCACAGGGCACTGAAGGCATCTCAATTTGGGCAACCTAAAACCACAAGGTGCTGGATGACTAGCCCTCCTTGCCCCAACACCTGCGATCCTCTGCAGCTGAGGGGGTGAGCAGCAGCGAGCCCAAAGAATACCTGGAGCATCCCTTGGGCCACACGTATGCCCTGGTGACAGCAGATGGCACGGTGCTGGGGATTGGTCTGGGGGGCCATGGGTCACCTCCCTGGGCTCCACCAGGCAGTGATGGGAGAAACAAAGGCCAGAGGACGTGCGGAAGACAAACATTTTTTTTTAAAGGTTTTTTTTTTTTTTCCTTTAATTAGCAAATTTCTTCTTATCCTCGTCAAAAGAAAAAACACCCCCACGTCCCCTACATGCCCACCGCTCCAGCTGCTGCAAGCGTTCAAAGGCAGAAAGTTGAGAGATGTTTAATGTCCTGGCTCAGGGGCAGCTGAGTCCACTCCACCAGGGCACACGCCGGAGGGTTTTGGGGTGCCAGGTGTCGCGTTACAGATGCCACCAGGTGTGGGAAAGGCAGGTGCAAAATTTGGTGACGTGCTCCTGCCAGGAGCACCCGAAATCCCGCGGGAAAGCTGCAGCCCAGCCCCTTGGACAGCAAACGCAGCGGTGGAGGACATGGACGTGCCTCGAGATACGCGTTGCGTCCCCAAGGCATCGCAGCCAGAATTGGGGTTTGCGCCGTGGCTCGGTGATGAGGACACGACAGGAGAGAACCCACCACCCTGTGCATTGAATTTGGAAGCTATAAATAAGAGCACCCCACATTTTGGGGGGCCCAGTGCTGACCCTGCACTCTGGCAAAGCTGGGTGCCTCAAAGCCCCACCACGGTCCCTGAATTTCCCAGCGCTTCTGCCTTCGCTGCAGCAAGCCCCCAGTGAGCCCCATCTGCAGCATCCCGGTTGGCATCAAGGCAACGGGGAGATGGTGAAGTGGCAGAGGGGCCAGGAGAAAGGGAATGGTGCTTGGGGGGCTTAGCTCAGCCCTTCCCGTGGCTGCAAGGCCAGCACCAAGCTACGAGCCCCCTTCACCTCTCCCCGCTATCACCATCTTCCCCCCTGAGGCCACTGCGCCATCCCCACCTCCGTCCCCGCTGCTGCAGCCCTTATTTACAGGGAAGAGGTGGGAAAGGGTTTTTCTGGGGGTGCCCCGGCCCTCCTGCTCCCCATCCCTTCTCAGCTGGCACAGCCCTGCCTGCGTCACCAGCACCCTCCGCCCTTCCCTCTCAGTGCAATGGGAGGGGAAAGGGAGGAGGAGGAGGAAGGCGATGAAGAACCATCATGTGAGCTCGTTGCCTGCTAACGCCAAGGGTCAAAGGGCAGCGCTGCCTTCCCTCCTCAGGGCAGCCTTTTTCGGGGGTCCGGCAGGACGACCGTGCTGTGGGTGCCGGAACACGTTGGTGGTGCTCCATGTCCCCCCACCCCAGCCCTGTCAATGGGGCAGCGCGTGGGGTGCACGGGGCTGGGCGAGGAGGTGAGGGGGTGGGATGCGTGCAAGTGCCCGGGTGTCTGTGTGCACGGATTTTGGCAAGAGGTCATTGAGGTTACATGATGCAGCATTTGTTCTTGTGGTTATGAGGGTCCTTAAATCGGAGTCTCTGCTTTGGTCGGTATTTTTCCAAGTACGTCAGCTGCTTGCTGTTGATGGCTCCTCTGCGCTTCCTGTGGGGACAGAGAAGGGCCGGCACAGTCAGTGGTGTGGCAGGAGAAGACCCCCCACCCCAAACCCACCCCTGTTGGGGTGCTAAACCCCTCTGCCCGGAGCAAGAAGGGATTTTGGAGGCTGCAGCTTCATGTGTCCTCCAGGAATGGACACAGGCACTGACCCCAGCATCTTGCTCATCTGCCCTGCAAGTCTTAGGACAAGGAGAGCCAGGGAAGAAACACGTGGGGAGGCTGCCCAAAGGGAGGTGCCTGCCAAAAGCCCCCAAAGGATGATCCTGGATGCCTCCCCAGCCTCCTGCAGCCCTGATGCAAAGGCACAGGGTGCTTGGGGCTGGGC